AAAAGAAAACAAACAAACAAACAAAGACTTCTCTCTGGACAGTTTCTACTTTAGAATATTTAATCCTAAAAATGTCACATTGGGATATGCAATTTGAAAGGAAAAACAAAGCATACGTTCTCTCATTGAGTTTGATGAGAGGACTAGCTCTAAAATATGTGGATTGGCACTGCATTAGCTCTAAAATATATGATGTTGAGAATCTAGAGAATTCAAATTCACTGTGAATTCTTGATTAAAGAGACATGGTAGGCATCGTGATTGCATATAATGTGAGGACTTTGAATCCTGGTGTCAATCAGCTGAAAATTAAATGACAACAGGGAGAGATTTTAAATATACACTGAAAATCATGACACAGGAATTATAGGTATTTCATTAGATGTGATGATGATATGCAGGTTATATAAGAAAATATCCTTGTTTTATAAATCCTAATCACATCTTATTTAAAAGAAGTATTTTAAAATTCTTCAGCAAAATATCAGTTAAAACAAATGTGGCACAAGTGTTAATAACTGTTCCACTTATGAGATGAGTTGATGGAGTATTTTTCTATAGTCCTATATGTTTTATTTGAAAATTTTATAGTTCAAAGTTTAGGAAAAAAATCTCCACACATCAGAGCATAATGCTGATTTGTCAGCTAAATAGCCCTCTTTATGATCACCACAAGTGTTGCTTCACTGTGCCTGGAAATTAGGTGATCCCTTAATCACGGGACAGTACAGTACAAGTGAACTAATACTCTCCATTCCCTGGTTTGGTTTTGTGACTTGGCCTATGATTATAGGCAGTAAAGTAGTTCAAAAGTAAAACTGAACCATATGGAGGCCTAAAGTTAGTATTTTAAACGTTTTGTTGAAACTTAAAAAAAGGAACAATCTTAAACTAGAGTACCACAGTGATTTTTCTTCCTTTCAAAATGTATAGTCTATAACCTAGATTATATCGACTTGTATAAAATTATTGCACTGTCTCAGACACAAACCTACCTGTCATTTTTCTTTCCTATGCAGAGATTTTGAGTTTTTATTGTTAAATCTACTGGTGTGATTTCTGTGTGGTTCTTCAAACAGTGTGCTTTTGCCGATGACCCAGGACAGTACTGTGTTGGTAGGACTTTTTTCTCTTGGGGTGTTTCAATACTCAGACCTTAAAATAAATCATGTTCCCATTTCCACTGAACTTACGATGGAGATGACAAGTTCACATTGCAGTGTGGGCTGATTCACAGGTCCTGGCTACCAAAGAACAAAACAGATTGTTGTGTTTTTATTCCCACCTACTTTTAGAGAACACGTTAGTTCCCTTCTCTTTTATTTTTCACCCACACTTGGTATCAGCAGTTGCAGAGTCAGTAGCAAAGGGAATCTGTTTCCACACTTCAGTAAAGTGTGTGCATTGCTACTGTTTTTTCTGTTTTTAAGATTTATTTATTTATGCATACAGAACTGGGGTACAGCCAGAGGTGCAGGGGCAGTGAGAGGATTCATCAGAGATGGAGTAGGGAGCAGAACAGGCAGATCAAATTAGTACACTGCTAAGGGGAGCAGTGGGTGAGACAGGAGAGGTCTGCTGTGCCATGTGGGTCACCTCAGGGGTGGGAATTGAACTCCTACTAAAGCTGCCGTGGCCAGCCTGCAGTGCTGCATCCCAACCTGGTGTGCCACCAGGAAGGGCCCTATGTCAGTTTTTTTTTTTTCCAAACAGCAGCATATAAATGGATTTTGATATTGAGCTGGGGTTCAAATCCTAACTGTATGATCATCAAAAACAAACACCCTCTGAGCCCCTGTGACATAAAGCATTGTTGAAGGCCCTATGGGGTGAGGTGGTGTGGTAGTGGAAAGATGGCTATAGAAAACCTGGTTTCTGTCTTCAGCAGTTGACCAACTGCAGAGAGTAGAACCAGTTCCTATGGAAAGTATATAACAGGCACAAAGTGATGCCATGAACTGCAAGTGGGCTACAAATTCAGGGTCAAGAGATTGTTTCCAGATGGGGTCATTCTTGTTTCAACAAGTATATAAAATTTAAATGAAGCCTTCAGAAATGGGTAAAATTTTGACTGAAAGAGAAAGGGCAAGAAGCTATTTCTGTGTGGGAGGAACGAGTGTACTAGAAATAAGGAGTATTTGGCAAAAAATGGGTAGTTTGGTTGGAAGGGAGAGTTCTGACTGGGACTGAGTATGGTGAGCACAGGAATTTGGTAAACACTAGGGAAGCAGTAAAGGTTTGGGGGTAGTGATGTGAGAGAGACTGCATTGAGAGCTCAGTCTGGCAGCTCAACTCAGCAACGTAATTGTAGGAAGGAGAGATTAAGAGAGGAATATCATTCACTGAAAAATAGTCCAAATATGAAAGGTGATAAAATTTGAGTCATGAGAGTGGGAATAGAAGGGTGGAATGATTACAAGACACATTGCAAGAGAACTGATTTGATTTGATGACTGAACTAGGTCTTTGAAAGAGAGAAGAGAATTTCACATGAATTTGCATCATTTCCTTGATGTAAGCAGTTAACTGTAAGTTTAAATACCTAGTATGACTCAATTGAGAGCCTTTGAAAGAGAACTTTTAATTCATTATTAATTTATAGGAAAGTTAGCCCCACCCTTATAATTACTAAACATTTACACAAACCCTTAGAATGGTTAGTCACTTCCTCAAGCCTTGGTTGTCTTTTTAACTATCTGCAAGAGTTAAGACAGTGCTGTGGATGGGGAAAATGTGATCTGAAAGTTACTGGCTCATAAGCAAATTGTAAAAGCTCTTGTGAAGTAGTAGCAATAGTCTAGGAGAGAGGAACCTGCACACAGACCCTGAGGAGAGTCACTGAAGATTACATTGAAATGATAGTCATTGCCCTTCAGTACAGAGCAGCTCCAGTTGGTTCTATAAGGAGGGATCTGGGGGTGGGGGAGCGGCGGGATACGCTTTCTGACCTTACGCTCTTCCTCCCATCCCTTGCTGACCCTCTCCCTCTCCAATTGAGATGGCAAGAAACCCACTAGTATAGTCCACATAGGTCAGTCTCCTGGGGCAGAGAGTGGTTTGGAGAAAGGCAGTAAGTTGAACTGGGGTACAGTCAGGGTAGGAGTCATAGCATCCTCTTTACAAAACAGAGCAGTATGTGGGGTGTCAGTGCGTGGCGGGAGTTTGTCAGAGAGTCAAAATAGTAGAGCTGGAAGAATCTCGAGGATTTGCAACCTCATTCTGGAGAAGGGGAGATAGAACCTTAAAGAGATACTTGGGTACAGCGAGTTGTCAGAAAGCTGAGAGGAAATGACAGACCTTTTAATGCTCTGCCCTTCCTCTTTCTAAGGACCAGGTAGTTTCCAGAAATGTTCCAAATTTTTTTCAGACCCACTGCACCAGTTCTACCACCGTTCAGCAGGGGTGAAAATGGTATGGAAGGCTTAGTTGTTATTCAAGGGAAAGAGGAGGCATCTGACTTAGTCATAATCATTGGAGCAGGACATTTCTGCAACTGAAGTTAGCATCATTGTGGATAATCTGGAAAGTGCATGAATGTGTCATCCATGATATACCACAGAGGCCAAAATGTTAGTTAGCATTCTGGTGCTTTCTTGTAATGTTTAAAATTGAAAATATACAGAACAATGTGTATTTGTGAATGTAACATTGGTATCAACTGTATATTTAGTTTTGTATCTTGCTTAGACACTTAGCAATTTGTCATGTGGTAAATTGTTTCAGAATGTTTTAATAGCGTTATCATTTCTTAGTGGATGTAGCTTCATTTTAAAAGTCTCCTTAGTTGGAGTGGTTCTTATTTTCTGCTACATAAATGTGGAATTTGTGCTAATCTCTTGGATACATTTTTATTAATAGAATGGCCAGTACATGCATTTTCACTGGTCCCTTCTGATGGGTCATTGTGGAGAGAATGTGACACCTGACCCGTTTGGCTTCTGCCACTTTCTGGATGTGGCAGAACATGTCACTTCACTCTGAGAACTCAGTGTCTGGTCAGTTAATCAGGGATTACCCTCCCTCTCCCCCAACATGAGAAGGCTCTGCAGTGGTGCCTGTAAAGCCTGATACAGAAGGAGCACTGTCACACATCAGCTCTTTCTCTTGTGGGGAGAGTCAGTTTGCACACACTTTATTACACGTCTGGGTATGTCAAATGAAGTGAAACACACACACACATACACGTGCGCACACGCGCAATTGTATTCACCATTAAGAAAAAAGTAAAACTGCCTTGAGAAGAGAGACCAAGTTAGAGAATAAAGAATTCTTTCAGTGCAAGAGAGACTTTTGTAAAAGCTAAGGTATTGAAACTGAAGACAGAAATACAAGTGCTCAATGCCTGTACTCCTTTTATTAATGTAAATTTTTAAAAATATATTCATGATATCATCCTTCATTGTTGCACAGTGTATGGCTTCCCTGTGAAAATTCCCACCACCCACTCACCCGTGCACCATCACCAGAGTCCCTTGTGCTCTTCCCACTCCTGTCCTGGTCCTTCTCCCTCCTTCCCCCTCCTTCCACCCTACAGAATGTCTCTCATCTATAGTTGCCTGATGATTTTAATTTTTACTTTATTATACTTTTTTTTCCTGATTCCCTTTTAATTTTCTCTATATTCCTCCAATAAGTGAGACCATTTGATATTTCTTTCTGGCTTATTTTGTCAGGTTTTTCTTTGTGCTGGGTTGTCCAGTAACAATTTTTTTTTAAGATTTATTTATTTATTCGTACAAAACTGGGGTACAGGCCAGAGATGCGGAGGGTGAGCGGATTCACCAGAGACAGAGCGGGAAGCAGCACAGGCAGATCGATGAAGTACACTGCTGAGGGGAGCAGCGGGCAGGTTAGGTGAGGTCTGCCCGCCATGTGGTCAATCGAACTCATGTAGAAGTGGCTTTAGTTTCTTAGTGCAGTGTTTTAACCCACTGCGTCACCAGGGAGGGCCTGTCCAGTAACCATTTTTAACCTTGTAACCCACCCGCTTCCTTCCCCAGTGCTCATCTTCAAACTCTACCAGCGGGCAAAGCATGTGTACAGCGAGGCTGCACGGGTTCTTCGATTTAAGAAGATCTGTGAGGAAGCTCCTGAGAACGTGGTCCAGCTACTGGGAGAGTTAATGAACCAGAGTCACGTGAGCTGCCGGGACCTGTACGAATGCAGCTGCCCTGAATTGGACCAGTTGGTGGACATCTGCCGGTGAGGCTGAGGGCGCAGCCTGGCAGAGGCCGGGGATGCCACCAAAGGAACTGTTTAAATTAATGCAAAAACAATCTCCACCTTTTCATCTTCTTCCACACAAACGAAGATCTTTTTCACTCCCTCTATGAGTAGTCATCTAAAACACAGGGCTCAACTTGCTCCCTCATGATTATCTGTAGCCTCCATCCTAACTTTGAGGCTTTAGGTCTGAAGTCAGGTCACAACACAGTAAGAAGACTTATCTTTGGATGATTAGGCATTTCAGAGAGGTTGCTTTTCTCAGGCATGGGCCTGTTGTTACTTTCTCATGGTATTTCAGTCAATGCTGTGCACTCCACTGTGGTTTTGCCTGCATTTTCTATTAGTTTAGTTTTTTATTCAAAAGAAGGATGTGGAAAGAGACCTCACATCTGGGTTGCTGAAGGATTTGTGTAGAGGGCCAGGATTTCTTGCCTTTTAGGTTTCGGTTAGACAACTTGGGAAACAGGGACTGAAGAAAGTCCATTTCTAAATGTCTGTTGAAACAGAAATGTAAAGAGGGAAACTCTTTCACAAAGCCTGAGAACAACATATAATTGCTAGAGAATGAGGATAATAAGTAGAATGGCCCCTTTACCCAGAGGGATATCAGTGACCTTGGGAGAACTGAAAGGGAAATTGGGAGACCTCTCAAATGGTTAGATGTTATTTCCACTGTCAGAAGATAATACAGAATGCATGCAAATAATAATGAAAATATAATTAACCACTTGGCGCCTGTGGCTTGCCTCACTCATTGCCACACTTCCAGCCTGAGAAGTTTAAACCAAGCAGCTCCAGTGATCACAAATGGCAATTGCAACCCAACTTGTTGAGATACTGGAACATAGCACTGATGAGAATCACTATGCTGACGTCAGTGTTTGCTCACTAATTGCCAAAAAACGTTCTGGAGCTTGTTTCATTATAAATGCTCTTTTCTGAAAATATCAACTGCCCAGTTAATGGAAGGGACAAATATTGTTCAGTTCTGGAAAAAAGAGGAAGTGGAATGATTTTTACAGAATTCAGGAAGAAGCATCTTTGCCTGGAAGGTAGCGGGTTTAATTCCTCCTGCAAAGTGGAGAGACATTTGCCAGTCTCCTGGAATTCTCTAAAGAATTTTCTCCTACGGGATGATCAACCTGATCTTGAGCTTAAGGAGCTGATACTCTTATAAGGAAAGAGAGAAAGATTATTAAAAAAAAAAAAATGGTAGTGATAAGTGCAATGGAAAAAAAAAAAAAAAAAGGAACAGAGAATACCAGGGCTGGGTGGGAAATCTTTATATACAGTGGTCAAAGAAGGCCTCTCTGAGATGAGATCTGAGCAGAGACCTAAGGAAGTGAAGAAATGGGAACAGCAAGTGCATAGGTCCTGAGGTGGGTATGTGGCTGTCACTGGTGAGAAATAGTAAGCTGACAGGTGTTGTGAGGGGGCAGTGAAAAGAAAGCGTGAGGAGGTAGGTTGGGTAGCAGGCGCCTCCTGGGCTCTGGAGGCCGTTAGAAGATTCTGTCTGTGGGTAAGAAAGGTGGTAATAGATGTCTGAATGATCTGATGCAGGCTGTGGTTTGAAAGAAGATTCCAGACAATTTGTTTGGGTAAAAAAGGAATCAAAATGACACCTGTGTTTTGGCCTGAGTAAATTTCCTTGTTTCTATAAAAGTCACATTTTTGGAAGCCAGACTTTACTTTTCTGGATCGGAGTTATCATAAGAAATGAGAGCAAGAGCAGACCGTTTTACTAAGAGAAGGCATTGAAGATTGAGTGACTGGAAAAAGTTAGAATAATGAGGCAATGGGAAAGCTTAGCTCCCAAAACAACATTTTCCCCTTTGTTATACTCAGATGTGATTATGTTTGAATGTTTTTTTTGTTCCCTCTTTTTTAAAACCTTTTTTCCTCTCCTAGCTCTAAAGCTTTAATGACTGGAGGTTTTGTTACCATAGTTTTAAGTATGTGAACGTAGAAAAGCCATATCGAGGAGAGAAGCTGTGTGTAGCGTGGGATTAAAAACTGGATTGAAAGTTAAAAAGGTTGAGTTCTAGTTGTGCTTCTTTTCATCCTGAGTTCTGTAATTTTGGACTGTTGCCTTGCTTTATGATCTCCAGTGTCTATATGTTGAAAAATGTGGTTCCAGAGATATATCTAGTGGTTGTGTCTTAAAGGGTTTAGAAGAGTAACTTTTATTTATTTTTCATTTATTTGTTTTGGAAACTCCTTTCTTAGTGGCAAAGTGCTTCTGCCTGACCAATTTTTATCTGCTTATTGCTTTTCTGAGGGAAATTTAGTTGTATCTAGTATAGAGATCCATTCCCTTTTTAGTGGTGGTTCTTGTTTGGAAAGCCAATTGCAAAGTATCAAAATTAAGTTCTACTTATTCCATAGCCGTATAGGGACCAAGTTTCCTACACTGAAAGCTTATCTTTCAGCACATGAAAAATACTGGCCAGAACTATTAAGCTTCTTATATAATTATTTCTTTGCTGTCACTGTGACAGAAGATAACTTTCTCCCAATATTCTGAGAATGCAGTCATTGATGTCAGTCCTTTTTTTTTTTTTTTCAGTCAACAAATACTTTGCAGTGGGTATTTGTATCCCATGTGAAATTGAAGTCTAAACTCCACTTTCAAAAGCTCTGGCACTTTCTTTTATGTGAGTGTATAAGGAAGTAGGAGGACTACAGAAGAATGCAACACAGTGGTAATGCGGGATGGATAAAAAATGGGAAGAGGAAGACAGACAGCAGAAGAGCCGGAGAGCGTAACTGTGGGGAAAGTTCAAGTGAAAAGTGGAGATACTTTTAAGCTCCTTTCCTTCTAGAGCTTTATGACTACCTCCCTGGTCTTGGCAGAGGAAGGGTTAAGTGTGCTGGGAAGGGTTCTATCAAGGCCCACTATGGACCATGGGTATCATCAACTCAAATTCTGGTAGTAGAGTATTAATTTGTGTACCAGTCACCAGCACCTCCATACTTCCCTGTCCCCTTGAAAAATGTTAGTGGGGAGGCTATGACTAAGATTTGGCAGTCGGAGAAGGTCCCTTGCTTTAGGGAGAACAGAAGCGACAGGAAGAAAACTGACAAGGTTTTAAGAACTTGTAAAACTGTAAAGACAAACTTCAGATTATTCACCCTCATCCACTTATGGCACTTTAAAATTCCTTTAATTTTCCTAATGGACTGCTTGCAAACTATTTTCATGAAAAGAGAGCTGATTGAGTGAGTGAAAACGATTATGCCACCTAGAATACTCAGGGCATTATCAAGAAGCTAAAATCTTAAACGTGATTGAGGTGGACTATAGTAAAAAGGTCTCTATAGGTAGCTTGCCCACAGGACAACTTACAAGAAACAACTTTATGACCCAAGGGGAGAAAAAGGGATAGAAGGAAGAGAATAGAATAAATATGCTTGATGATTTTTCATTTGAGCCTTTCACTGTCTTTCAAGAGAAAATCAATTTAGAATCCAAAGAAAAGGCCAGGGAGGGAGAAGGAAACTACCCTTATACAGTTAGATTGTTTACTTTCTTTTTAAAGTTAAATTAATTTTAGAAAACTTCAACCACGTGAAACAAAGTATAATGGTGAATGGAAAATATGAAGTTTGCCCAATTATAAATAACTCTTTTAAATGAACAAAATGTAAATTTTAAGAAATGACTAAAATATAAAGGAGAAATTAGTTATGAAGACAAAACAATTTTGAAATCAAATCAATTATATGTGAGAAAGCTCATTTGTTATCAATTTCCCTGATTATAGCTGCGAATAAAATAGCTAACGCCTTTTATTTTCATTTTGACACTTGTTGAAATTAGAGAGGATTCACTGCTGTGTGGGTAAAAAAGAGGAAAACTGGACGAAAAGTTAGAAAAACAGTTTTAGTTTAGCCTGACAGAACTTATTGTCAAAGCTATTAAGATGACAAAATTTAATAGCGCAACAAAGGTTACAAAAGTTAATTTGCTGTCTTCCTCAGAAGTCTTTCCACAGCTTCACTCAGTGGCCATGCTTCTCAGCACAGCTTCTCATACCCATTCTCTTGAACATATCAGAATTGTAAGAATGAAATACATATTCATATGTCTGTGGCTTACCTCCATGATCTTAAGTGCTAATCTTTACATCTTGATTGTAAAGAGAGCTATTTCAGCCTCCCTCAGGGACTCTCTTCTCATTAGGCTTATTATCCTCCTCAACTTCACCTCTCTCTAGCTATCTATTGATTGATCTACCATCCGTCCATCCATTCATCCATCCTTTCATCCATACCCAAATCTACCTGTTTATTGGAACCAAACCAACTGATATTCAATGTCCTTTATTGTCTTACATTTCTTAAACATACTTCTAATCATCTTACACTTTCTCATTTAAACTGTATTTGTAGTCTGTTGTTTTTTGCCTTTATCTAAAGCAATATATAAGTGATTTTAAACTGGCTATAAGAATGATAGAAGTTATTCGAAAGGATTTGTTTTCCTGAGGTTTTAGTCAGATGATTATAGACTTTAGAAGTTAGACATCATATTACTGGCTGCTTATATTTATATACAGTGTGTATACTGTTCCTCAGTAAATTTGACTTTAAAAATTAACCATTTATTTACATTTTATTTAAGAGATATTTTATAACTTGGCAAACATTCTTTTCCCTTCATTGTTAAAAAATATTTATCAAAGTTTTCTAACTTTAATGTTTGATGTTTTTATAATATCAAAGAGCCTGAGGATATATTTTGATCTTAAAACAAAATATGATATCCAGCAACCATTTTTTAAAGTCTACCAAATATTTGGAATTGTGTTGGCCTGGGATTAGAGAGATAGCTATCACCTGTCCCTCACTTAAGAATTCCAGAAATAATTTATTTATTATCCATCTGTATAAAATATAAAATGTACTTATTTTGAAATAAATAAAATTGAATTTTGAAAAACAAGGAAAAATCCCTTGCTTTCCTTTGTAGCAAGTTTGGGTCTTACTGGATCTCCCCTTCACCCTTATCCTCGTTGTCCTATGCCTTGTACCTTAAGCAAGTATTTTAAGACATTTTAGGTAGGCTTTATTCTCTCAGAATTTGTTTTAAAATTTATTTATGAGTACAAGAACTGGGGTGTAGGCCAGAGATGCAGGAGAGTGGTGAGAGGATTCATAAGAGACAGAGTGGGAAGCAGAACAGGCAGATGTACTGAAATACACTGCTGAATGGAGCAATGGGCGAGGCAGGAGAGGTCTGCTGTGCCGTGTGGGTCACCTCCCTGACGGGGTATCGAACTCATGCTGCAGTGGCTGTGAATAGCTTTATAGTGCTGTGTTTTAACCCCATGTGCCACCAGGGAGGTCCCTCTCACAGAATTTCTAATGCATATGCCAAACTGCATACTAAACTCCTGTGAGGAATCATTGGCGATAGGACCCTTCTCCCTTTCTGAGTGTGTGCAGCTGAAAAGGCTGCTAACCATTTGCTAGGGTAGCCTCCTAGTTTGTGATCGCAAGTGTTATTGACTCAGGAGCAGGAGGTTATTTATAATAACATCATTCTCTATTTGGGAAATCTGAGTCCTTATAATTTCAGTCCATGTGGTTGATGCAATCCAGTCCATTCTCATCTGTAGTAGGCAGGGTGGTGACAGACAGCTTTGGAGACTCACAAGTGAATGTATTTACCTAGAAAGATTTCTGGCTTCTGCTCTCTGGAAACTGGCAGGCTACTCAGGAAAATAGACCCTCTGGCACAATTCCTATGGGTTTTTCAGCCAGTTAGAAATAACACTCTCACTTTGCTTTAGGTTCAGTTTTGAAACTACAGCTTTCAAAAACTGTTCAAATGAGAAAGTGTAAGAAAATATGCCTAGAAATCCATTGAAGACCATAAAAGAATTGGTTGACTTGGATTCAGCAAAATGGCAGTTTGGGTTTTAGAAAATCGAGTCAGAAGGTATATTGTTATTCTCTTGACACTGCCGTGGTTGGCTCGGATGCCCGGATTTTAGGGTCTTTCAGAGATGATTCAGTGATACATCCATTTTTCTCAGCATCTCTTATATGGCAGGAGTGTTTGATATGACTATATATGAAAATTTTTATATTCAATCACCAAAGTGCAATCTGCCACTTTGGCAACCTTATACCTTAGAATGATCCTAGAATCCCAGTATCAGAGAAACTTGTCAGCTGAGAAGACTCGAGTCTGGGCTCAGTTCAACTATGGGGCCATAAGATGAATTGCTGAGGGACAGGAGGAGATGAGGAATCTTTATTTGCCAGCATTTTTGTTTATTCCTTTAACATCTATTTTCATTTGAAAAGCACATTTTAATGAATAAAACAGATGATGAAAAGAAATCAATTGAGAAAAATCATTGAGGGGAAAATAAATTACTGTTGTGCAATAATTCTGATGTCCTAGAGTAGGGGTAATATGCTATTGATATTTTCCAGGAAGTAAAATAGCTCATTTAGATGGGAAAAAAGGACAACATTGTACTAAATTAATTATGGAGTTTTAATCTGCTATAAATTTGGAGTAAATTTTATTAGGAAGAATTGGAAGTACATGTTAGCTTTTTTTGTCAGAATAAATTGTACTTTTAAAGATGTACGATCCTTGTACTTTGTGTAGGGCCTTTTACTTTGGTACAAATGTTAAGTTTGAAACTGTGCCTGCTTGATTGTGGCTAAAATTACCTCTCGCTGTGTGGTGGTTTATATAGTGGTTTCCATCCTAATCACACTTTTCGTCTGATGGTAAATTCTGAGTCCAGTTGTCAGATGAACTCTCAAAACAGAGGGAAGATGTGTAGGAACCTGTGAAGGCCAACCGCCATCCTCTTGAGGGAAGGTCTGAATAATTTCCATTAGATATTAGACCAACAAGTTGACCTAGAGCTTAATAACATGTTCTTTGTTGACACATTTCTTCAGCATGAGTCTAGTCTGTTTACTCTTGGGGACTGATTTTATGTGAAGTAACCATTCCTTAAGAATAAGGCTTAAGTAGCCACTGGAAGAAGCCCTTACTTATTGAAGAGACTGTGCACTTTAAATTTTGATTTGCCCTCATTTGGACAAAATTCATAATTTGATCATGCTCATGGTCTGCTTTTTTAAAAAAGGTTTATTTATTATGCATACAGAACTGGGGTACAGGCCAGAGGTGCAGGGGCGGTGAGAGGATTCACCAGAGACAGAGTGGGGAGCAGAAGAGGCTGACTGACAAAGTACATTGCTGAGGGGAGCAGCAGTTGGGTCAGGAGACGTCTGCTGTGCCATGTGGTCACCTCCGGGGCTGGCAGGAATCGAACTCATGCGGAAGTGGCTTTAGCTTCTCAATGCTGTGTTTTAACCCCCTCCGCCACCAGGGAGGGCTGGTCTGTTTTCTTTTTGTCTCTCTTCCTATCACCTGTTTGCTGCACAACTCTTTTAAGTGGTGACTTTATGGAATCAAGACAACAGTGGGTTATTGCTAGCCCTCATGAAACAGGCATGTTGCTAACTTTTACTACTGAGAGCCAAAACAAATGCCTAATTTCAGATATAATTAAATTTCAGATAACCTTCTGGAACTGTATAATTTCTTTTTTTCCTCACAGAGATTTCATTTAAACTTAGGTCTAATTTCTTGTATGTTTTCTTAAGATTTGTTTTATGTGCACTAATGCACTTAGAATATATAACATTTGCTTAGAATATTTGACCAAATCAGCTCTATCAATGTAAATCAACAGATCAATTTCAATGCAAGGGAAAACTGCCATATAATTCTTGTGTAATCCAGCATTGAAGGAACTTGTATTTGGAAAGCTTCTTTTTAAATTCTAAACTGCATAAATAAGATTTTTTTACATTTTTATATATCTATTTACATTACTGTTCATTTTATAACAATGTTTACTTCTCTCCTTCTTCTCCTGTCATCACCATAGGTCCCCATATTCCTCCCTCCTTCTGATCCCTCTCTGTCCCCCTCCCCTGCAGGATCTCCCTGGTTTATGATTGTTTTTGTATTGTTTTGTGTTGTAATAACAGTACACTTTCTTCTCCCCTGTCATATGTGGTGCTCTTAAATTCCTCCTATAAGTGAAACCATCGATATTTTTTTTTTCCTAATGACTTATTTCACTGAGCATAATCCCTTAGCTCCATCCATGTTGCTGTGAATGGCATACACCACTATATACCACATCTTCTTGATCTAATCACCTAGTTTTAGGCATTTGGGTTGTTTCCAGGACTTACCTATTGTAAGTAGTGCTATGATAAACACAGGAGTGCATGTATCTTTTTGAATTAATGTTTTTGTGTCCCTAGGAGTAGATTTGTTGGGTTGTATGGTAGCTCCATTTTTAGTAATCTGAGGAATCTCCATACAGCTTTCCACAGTGGTTGTACCAGTTTGCATGCCCACTAGCAATAATAGTGGAGTTTCTTTTCACCGTATCCTCACCAACATTTGTTGTTATTAATTTTTTTCATATGCGTCATTCTCACTGGTGTAAGGTGATATCTCATTGTGGTTTTGATTTGCATTTCCCTGATTATGAGGGATGTTGAACATTTTTTCATGTGCCTGTTGGCCATTTGCAATTCCTTTTTGGAGAAGTGTCTTTTAAGTTCTTCTGCCCATTTTTTGACTGGTAGTTTGTTTTGTTTTTGTTGATTTGAGTGAGCTCCTTGTATAGCTTTGTGATCAGTCCCTTATCCATTGTATGTAATGCAAACATTTTTTTCCCAGTCAGTAGGGTGTCTCTTTATCTTGGTTAATGTCTCTTTTGTTGTGCAGAAGCATTTCAGTTTGAGGCAGTCCCATGTGTTTATCTTTTCCTTCATTTTCTTTGCTTTGGGTGAAGAGTCATTAAAGCTATTGTTGAGAGTTATGTCTTGTAGTGTTGTACCAATATTTCCTTCTATATATTTATGGTTTCAGGTCTGATGCCCAAATCTTTTATCCATTTTGAGTTGATTTTTGTGCATGGTGTGAGGTAGTGGTTTTATTTTTTATTTTATGTTAGTTTTATTTTTTTATTTATGTTAGTCCAGTTTTCCCAGCATCATTTGTTAAACTAACTGTCCCTGTAGAACAGTATCTTTTCTTAATGTCCTAAGATGTTTGACAACAGCCCTCCCTCAACAAAAAAAAACAACACACACACATTTTCTTCTCAGCACTTATTCTATAAGCATTAGGCAAATAACTGCCATTTTCATTTACAGGTTCTAATTTTCTTTTTCTTCATTGTTTTAGGAAGTTTGGGGCTCAAGGGTCACGACTTACTGGAGCAGGATGGGGAGGCTGCACAGTGTCAATAGTACCTGCTGACAAGCTGCCCAACTTCCTAGCAAACGTGCATGAAGCTTATTACCAGAGGAGTGATGGAAGCTTAGCCCCTGAGAAACAGAGTTTGTTTGCTACCAAACCTGGAGGTGGGGCTTTGGTTTTCCTTGAGGCCTAAACAATGTAAAAAATCTCAGAGAAACTATTCAGGACATTTAAGAACTGGCAGGACTTCCTATGCCACAGTAAATTAATCCTTTTTCTGTTTTGTATTATGATGAATGGTTGCTATTATCAAGATGTATTTCCAAAGAAATGGTTGAAAGCACTCTATGCTTCATAATGATTATTTTTCCATCTTAAAATATGTTTTCTATCAATAAGAGCCAAGATTATGCTTGGACAGATCTCTTAAGGATGATTTACTAAGATTTATTGATTTCAAGAGTTTTTTTTTTTAAGACTTTTACAAGATGAATGGTAAGACACTCAATACTGACCTCATGGAATGAACTTGAATTAAACACACTGTTACAATTAAATTATATGCAATAGTCTTAAATACAGTTCATTTCTGCTTTCTCTTCGCATTCATCTTCCTCCAACCTGTAGTCTTCCGTTGATGATAATGATGATGATGACAGTGAAGTCAGAAATTCTTGCTCAATTCGATCTTTACATCGCTATTGAAAAAATTAAAGATTCACAGATTTTCTTCAATGTCAGATATTTGACTGTGAGATTATACCAATTATCAAAAGAGAGGGATCGCTAAGTGTTTTTTCACAAAGATTTATTTAGGGAAAAAACCCCATACTCATTTTTTTTTTAAAGCATTTGGTACCACATAAACAATTGCTTCCTTTTCTTTTGGTCTTGAGCTTTCTCTATCACTGGATAAAGAAATTTAGATGAAGGGCACTGTTAAGTATTTATTCACATCCAGAAGAAACTTCTGATACTTTTTCACTATCCAAAGATAAACACTCTGGAAAGTAACTCAAATTTGTTGAAGGAATTTTGTGTTTTTTTAACCCAATAATCTGAATTGTTTTTAAATGATAATTCTTTGTTTTTAACAATTTTACCATTTTCCACAAAAGATTTGTGATTAGTGTATAATTCTTTGAAGGTATCCAGTTTATTGTTGAAAAGAAACACATGTGCCATTGCTTTCCATTAACACTTTTTTCCTCCATGAGATACCTTCTTTTAATAGGTGAGTACAAATTTCCAGACTGTACTCTGCTTAGGAGGACTTGTTTATTTTAAGCCAGGTAATATTTATCTTTATCCCTGACTTGAAGAAAATCACTATTATTCAGTTAAACCATCACCCAATGCTAGTAGAGAAATATGAGAGATACCAAACTTGTCTGGAGAGGAAAGAGCTAGAACCACTGAAAAAAGCCTCATCCTGAAGACGGAATGTGATCAGGGCACTGAAGAATGAGTAGGATTTGACAATGGGGAGGAAGCCTGAAGATGAACAAAGTATATGAGAACCATGTGATATGGTTTAGAAGGCTCAGTGGGAATACAGGGTTTGCCTTGACATAGAGTTGAGAATACAGATGGCCATACAGATTGGGGCTTGGTTTTGAAGTAATCCAAATCCAGGCAGTATTTAGACCCTGGGCTGCCAAGACACAGACCAGAGGCCACATCTGGTCAGCAGACATACTTAGGTTAGCCCACAAGAGTATTTTAAAATTTGGGGTCCAAATCAAAAGATTTTGCAGAAGACTCTGGATTATTAACTGTGGAGGACTGATAATATTTGGCCTCCATTCCTGAAGGGTGACAGTGAACTGGAGCTGAGTAATGGCTGTGTGTGGTCTAAATATGACAGGGTCTCTGTGCTATTTTCCCTGGTACACAGGCCATTTACCACATGGTCACTAGTCCTTGACTGGCACACTTGCACAGTTGTTTCCTGACATGAAATCAACACTTCTTTGTGCCCATGTCTCTATCAATAGTAGGAAAGAGAGACCAAGGAAAAGAGGGAAAGATTCTGTTTCTTTCTTTCTCTCTTTCTCTCTTTCTCTTTCTCTCTTTCTCTTTCTCTCTTTCTCTCTCT